TCCGCCATGTCCGGATGGGTCAGCTTGTTGGATGTGCGTTGGGTGGGCCTCGTGTGTCCTGGCACCGCCTCTGTTTCTCTGACTTTGCAGAACGATCTTTTCAGTGTTGAAATGTAGAATGGACACGGGCAAATGGCGTGCCCAGAGCACAGGCCCACCTGGCCGGCCTGGGCGCTTTCTGTGTGTCTGGTTTTCCCCAGCTGCTGCCTTATTCTGAGAGTCCAGGCGGTGGGACCCCGGCCTCGTCCTGAGGTCAAGGGGAGTGGCTGCTCTCGGCACAGCCCTGTAGTGCTTTGGGTTCTGCGAGGCCCCTTGCCCTCCACTTGCTGGGACCCTGGTGTGCCTGCGTGGTGGCGTCTGCACCCCCTTACTCCCGCTCTGCTGTGGGCGCTGTGGGGCCGGCTGGGCTCCCGCTGCCTCCCTGGGCGTCTGCGGCCGACTTCAGCCTCTGGATTCCTTTTCAGAGAGAGAACGACGAGGAGATCCAGGCCGCCAAGGAGAAGCTCAAGTACTGGCAGCGGCTGCGGCACGACCTGGAGCGCGCCCGCCTGCTGATCGAGCTCCTGCGCAAGCGCGAGAAGCTCAAGCGGGAGCAGGTGAGGCTCCGCGGGCGGGGCTTCTGGCCCTGCAGTCCTTCCGCCCCGCCACCCTGTGCCCTGGTTCGGCAGCTTCATGGGAGGGCGGCCCTGCCTCCTCAAAGGACCGGGAGTGGTGCAGGGAGTGTGGCCTCCCGTGTGGTGTGTGGGACGCTGTGGCCAGTGAAGGGGGAGCCTGGCCGGCACCTGGTGGGTGTTTGGGGCGCCATGTGTGACCTTCCTTGCCCTGGGCTGCCAGGGGCAGGGTTGGAATGGCTGTGGACCAAGTGTTGGCGCTGGGCGGCCCTGTGGCAGGAAGGCCCCTGTGTATGTCCGCGCTGAGCGCCCTTGTCCTCCAGGTGAAGGTGGAGCAGATGGCGCTGGAGCTGCGGCTGACCCCCCTCACGGTGCTGCTGCGCTCCGTGCTGGACCAGCTGCAGGAGAAGGACCCGGCTCGCATATTCGCCCAGCCGGTGAGCCTGAAGGAGGTGGGTGTGCTGCCGCCCTTGCCCACCCGCCCGTCCACACTGCCCGCCCGCAGGACGCCGCTCACCTGTGTTCCTGTCCTCCCTTCCTGCCTCACCGAGTCCTTGGCTCACGGCCCACGTTTTGTTGTAAAGTCTTAGCGATGACGTGGGGGACAATGAGGTGGGGGCGTTCATGCTGAGAAAGAGCCTCAGCAGGTCGGGGTCTGCCCAGCGAGTGCGTTGTTGCTCTGGTTTCAGTGAAGGAGCTGAGCCAGCAGGGCCCATGGGAAGGCGTGTACATGCCGTGTCTCAGTTCTGCTCGCGTTAGTGGGAGTTGTTTGTGCTGTGTGCATTCAGGCGTGTTGTGTTGCATGTGTGCACGTTGTGTTGCATGTGTGCGCGTGTGAGACTGTGTGGCGTGTGAATGCTCTGGAGTGGCAGCAGACGTTTCCTGGTGTAAGTGCTGTGCCCCCTGCGGTCAGGTGCCCGACTACCTGGAGCACATCAAGCAGCCCATGGACTTCTCCACCATGAGGAAGCGGCTGGAGGCGCAGGGCTACAGCAGCCTCCCCGAGTTCGAGGAGGACTTTGACCTCATCGTGGACAACTGCATGCGGTACAACGCCAAGGACACCGTGTTCTACCGAGCCGCCGTGCGGTTGCGCGACCAGGGCGGCGTCGTGCTGCGGCAGGCCCGCCGCCAGGTGGACAGCATCGGGTTCGAGGCGGCCTCGGGGGTGCACCTGCCGGAGCGGCCAGCCGCAGCCCCTCGGCGGCCTTTCTCCTGGGAGGATGGTAAGCACCTGCCGGGTCCGGGGTGCCCGGGCCATCTGGGCCTGGTCGGCCCCCCTGCCCGCCCAGCAGGACTGGGATGCGAGCCCCACGCCCGCTCAGTTCTCCAGGAGCGCGCAGAGAAGGCAGGCAGGTGCGTCTCAGCCGCATCCCGTCTTGTGGATTTGACACGCAGTCAGTGTGGAAACCACTGGGATGGTTGCCATTCGCCTTGTTCTCCCTTTGCCACTGCGGTGTTACCTCACAGCCCCTGTTCAGACAGCCACGTCCAGGTGCCCAGTGAGAGCCCATGCAGGGTGCCGTACGGGACAGCCCAGGCCCTCCTGACACAGCCCGGAGCGCCCAGGGCCCAGGGTGGGTCCTAGCTTCCAGGGTGCTGCCAGCTGTGTGGAAAGGGCCCAGAACTAGCACACAGACTCCTCACTCCCCACTCCTCTCCCCCCTCCCTCCGGGTTTGCCCCTGCAGAAGGGGCCTCAGGGCTCTGGCCGCCTCCCTCTGTGTGAGGCATGTGCTCCTCAGACGTGCAGTCTGCGCTGCTGCTGTCCTCGGAGGCCTGGCTGCCCTCTCCCAGGCTCCAGCCACCACGCCATGGCCGCCACCCCGCTTCCTGGAGCAAGAAGGCCTTTGGGCTCCGTGTTGGCCTTTTAGAGGATGGCCGTGCAGGTTGCCATGGTGTTGCCTAAGGAAATTCCTACACGCAGTTTTTCTAGCCATAAAGTCAAGGGTGGGAAGTCCTACTGTTATCTCTTCGTTGGTATAAGGGCGGGGGTCCAAGGCGAGCGGGTGCGTCCTGCCTCCCTCCCGTTAAGCCTGGTGGGCGTGTCCAGCTGCCGTTGGGTGGCCGACCCCGCACTGCTTAGAGTCTGCCTGAGGCACCGTGGCCTTTTCCTTCAGGCCTCGGATGACGTGGTTTTGCTCACGTGAATGCTTCCCGAGGTCAGCTGTGAGTGACCATTGGGAGTCGAGCCTGGCTGCTATGTCTCAGGCATCTTACGTGTTTCCTGTGCACTGTCCACTTCACGGGAAAGACAGGATCCACTGTGAGTCCCTAGCTGGGGGGGGATCCCGCTCACCAGGTGGCGCTAGAGTGGCTCTCTGCTTAGCGGCCTCACTGTCTAAGGCAGTGGTCGGCAAACTGTGGCTTGCAAGCTTCGGTTTGCTGCTCTGTTGACTAATGAGTTTGCCGACCACCGACCTAGATTCTCAGTTCCAATAATTACAGGCTGCTGCTGTTCCTTGTGATTAAGTCCCTATCCCAGTGGTCGTGAGCTGCAGTTTGCCGACCACTGGTCTAAGGTAACTTGTGTCTCACAGATTTTGGTATTTTGCTGAGATGAAGCTGCTAGGGGTTTTTGTAGACATAAGCCTGGGGCTCAGAATTCCCTGAGATGTGCAACCAGTGTAATCCCTGGGTCTGGGCTCCTGAGCTCAAGGTCAGTTATGCATAAGCAGCCCCCCTCCCCCTCCCCCCCAGCACTGGATGAGGAAGGGGCGAGTCCTGCCCAGCTGGCATCGTTGCCACTTAATTTCAGTCAAGGCGCCGCTGGCCTCCCTCACGTGAGGTTTGGTGGTCCTGCGTCTGCCTCTGTGCCTCCCACGTCCATGCACCCTGTGGTGGCAAGCATGTCCGTCCCCTGTGGTTTAGAGCGTGGCTGAGGGCCGTCACGTGGCCCAGGGCGACGGAGGGGCGGTGGAGGTGGAAGGGTGTTCTCTTGGTCACCGCGGGTGACGCTAACGGACATGTGTTCTGTGACTCAGTGGACAGGTTACTGAACCCGGCCAACAGGGCCCACATGGGCCTGGAGGAGCAGCTGCGGGAGCTGCTGGACAAACTGGACCTCACGTGCTCCATGAAATCCAGCGGGTCGAGGAGCAAGCGGGCCAAGCTCCTGAAAAAGGAAATCGCGCTCGTTCGGAACAAGCTGAGCCAGCAGCAGAGCCAGCCCCCGCCCGCGGAGTCAGGTACTGGAGGCTTTGAAGAGGAAGGTGCTCCGCTGGGGCAGGAGCCGGGGGAGGAAGGTAAGCAGCGCTGCCTCCGTCCGTCCTCCCCAGGCCCAGGGGCCCCGCCCCGCCCCCGGTCACTAGGCTGGTTCCGGGCAGTCCTGCCGGCGGTGCTCCAGCACCGAGAGGGCCCCGGTGCGAGGCAGAGTGAGGTTGTCCTTCCCAGCTGGGCCCAGAGAGCATGGCTTAGATCCCCGCAGCACCGCGTGGTGGAGCGGAGGGAGCGTGCCCAGGCGGGTGCACTGCTGTCGTGTCCTGTCCGCGAGGAGGGAGCCACTTACCGTGCATGGAGGAGCGGCTGTGACGGGCTGCTCTCAAGCGCCCTCCCGTCCATGCTCCTCTTTGATGTTGGAGGGTGGGACCGCAGTGTGGGCGCCAGTCACAAGGGGCAGGCGGGACCAGGGCTGCCCAAGGGCCCCCAGAGCCCCAGAGCCAGCCCTGCCTCAGCAGCATGAGCCGAGCGTGGAGCGGCGCCTCCCTTTGCTCCAACTGGGGTGTGAGGCAGCAGGCATGTTTCTGTGGACCGGAACACAGGGTGACACAGATACCCCCCCAACTGGGCACGGGTGCGAGAGAGCGGTTGGGCAGCTGGTCCAGCAATGCGCGCAGGGGACTTGAGGTGTGTCACAGCCCTCTTCTGGTTTCAGAGGAAGCGGTTCAGTCACACCAAATGGAACGTGGAGTGAGACCCTCCACCACCAGCAGCAGGGGGCTGGGACCTTTCCGAGCTTAAAAAACAAACACAAATTGTTCTGCAACTCCTTTAAAAAGCCTTGCCTGCTGTTGGCGGTCTGCAGGGTCCTGGTCACGGCCATGCGTGTGTCTTGTGGTGCACTGTGAACTGCGGCCCCAGGAAGCGCTGGCTGTGACTATGTAGTTCTCCGAGTTTCCCACGGTGCCCTGGGCCACAGCTCCCTTGTCCTCTAGCGGTTCCCGGAAGTGGTTCTGCTGCCTTCCTCCTCTGCTGCCTGGCTCTCAGGTGTGTGGTGGGTTGATTTAGGTCCGTAGCCTAAGGTGCAGGCCTAGGTGCTCTCCTTGGGGATGTGAATTGCAGTGAGTTCCAGAAGAGAGAGGAGTTTCCGTTTCCGCGCTCTCCCTGCTGGAGAGTCGGGCTCTGGTACACTTGATCAGGGGCTTCTGGCAGCCACTTGGGGTCCTATTGTCAGGCCTGGGCACCCGTGGAGGATGAAAGCCCTGGGACATGGCAGGACTTGGGGATGGGGTCATTGTAGGGCACCGCTGTGCTCCCAGCCAGCCCCCTTCTTGCTGCCAGGGCGGCAGCACTGGCCACAGTATTCTGTCTCTTAGAAAGCCACCCTCGCGTAGTATTTGTCTTAAAAGAGGGAGGGAGGGAGGAAGCTTGTCACTGGAGTAGCTGCTCTGAGCACTTGCTCTTCCCAGCAGTCGGTCTCTCCCTGCGGAGAGGTGTGGATGCTTCTCTTCCTTCATCTGGGGCTCCCTCCCTGCGTTGGGTCCCGCCTGCCAGGCTGGAGCACCTTAGTCAGGCCGGTCCCTTTGCTGCTATGGATCGTTTTAAAGGAAGCACACAAACTGAGGTGTGAGGTGAAAGACAGCCTGGAGCTGCCCGTAATGTGCCCGTGTTAAAAACAACCACGTACATAGAGAAAGCATGTTGCTTTCAGCTGATGGAGAGGAAGATGGAGAGAAAGCAGCTTCCAGGGGCCCAGCATAAAGAGCAGGGAGCGCCAGAGGTTGAGGCGGCTGTGTGATTCCATGGATGTGCAGGAGACAGGCGACACAGCTGTTGATGTTAATGTAGAAACCAGAACTTTGGAGATTATGATGCACAAAACCCAAGAACCTTTTACAACCATCTTTTAAACACAGACTCAGAGCAACATTATTATTATTACGCCAAAATAGTAGTAATTCCTTAATACCAAGACTGTCTCGGTTGTGACTTGGCACTTACCAGATGTACCGGTTAATAATGCGGATTTGTTTCAATAGATGGGGTTACACATATGTTGATATATATGCGATTTGACATGTGTGCTCCTTGGTTGTATTGACAGCAAACTTCAAAACTTCATGTCAAATATTCTGAAGGTGTTAACGTCATAGATATTTTTACGTTTAAAAATATTGAATTTGATGCCAAAAAAGAGCATTTTCGGGAAGTTTTAATTCATTACTTTATTTTGAAGAAAAGTGCTGCTGAAAGTTATTGTACTCTTTGGGAAGCTTATTGTGAACATGCTCCATCTCAAGATTAGTTTAAGTGCTTTAGAAGTGATGATTTCGATATAAAAGACAACGTCCAGGTCAACCGAAAAAATTTGAAGACCAACACTTACCAGCATTATTGGATGAAGATGCGTGTCAAACTCAAAAGTAACTTGCAGAAAGATTAAACATTGCTCAGCAAACAATTTCTGATCGTTTGCAAGCAATGGGAAAGATTTTAAAGGAAGGAAAATGGGTGCCACATCAACTGAAAGAAAGTTTTTTTCCATCAAATTGTGACTGGTGATGAAAAGTAGATTTATTTTGAGAATCCCACATGCACAAAATCATGGGTTGATCCAGGTCAGCCATCAACATCAACTGCAATGCCAAGTCGCTTCAGAAAGAAGACAATGTCTTTTTTTGGTGGGATCAGGAAGATGTGATGTATGATGAGCTTCTAAAACCAGGTGAAACCGTTAATACTGATTCCTACCGACAACCAATTTGAAACAAGCTTTGATAGTGAAATGACCAGAATGGGCCAGAAGACAAAAAAAAAAAAAAAGTGATTTTGCTTCATGATGATGCACCATCACACACTTCAAAACCAGTTAAAGACAGGTTGAAAGATCTTGCCTGGGAAGTATGAACCCAGCTGCCATATTCAACAGACCTTGCTCCTTCAGATGACCACTTATTCTGATCGATGGCACACGCACTGTCTGAGCAGCATTTCAAACCAATTACAAAATCCACGTTATTAACTGGTACACCTGGTAGGTGGTTTCCACTTGAAGAGCAGCGAAGTGATGGGTGGGCGTCAGGCCCATTGAGGTGGGGGCTGCACCCCCCCTCCCCGGCCAGGAAGGGGTCCCCAGACCTTCCTCCGATTGAGGCCTGGAGGGGCGGAGTCGGCGGCAGGCCCATCCCTGATGCGCACGCTGCCCAGTTGGGGCTCGCGCTCCTACGCTGTGTGTGCTCAGCTCCTAGTCTGTGCTGCCCAGGTCAGGGCCGTCTTCTGAGAGAACTGAGGCTCAGAGAGCTGGAGCGGCCACCGTCCCTGGGAGTCCTGCGGGCAGCCAGGGCTTGGCAAGGCCCGTGCTTTGCTGGCACATGGAGCGTGCAGTTGGCTGCTGGGCCGGATCTGCAGATGGCAGCTCTGGGAGAAGGGAGCGGCGGCGCGGAGTCTCCGTGCGGCTTTTGCTGTAGGTTGTGGGGTTGGAGGCCGTGCTTCGAGCCCTGCAGTCATTCTAGCTGAGCCGTCCCTGACCGGAGGCTCCTGAGCTGCCTGTCAGTGTAGCCGGCAGCAGGCCCTGGCCGTGTTCTGCTGTGTGTCATCTGTAGGCGAGGGCGAGGGCAAGGGCGAGGGCGAGGGCAGGCGAGGCCGTCTGTCAGACTTTTTAAAGGAGCTTTCTTATTGTGTGTCAGCATCCAGGGCCATTTCCGCACGGTCCTGCGGGCACGCTGTCCTGGTGGTGGGGCAGGGATGGCTGACGGCGGTGGAGCCCGGGGTCTGGCCCGCTTGCCCGTTCATGCCTTGGAAGTCTTTCTGTGAGTTGCCCTGATGGTGGGCGCCCCTGGGCTGCAGAACAGCGGCAGTGGGTAAGGACAGTGGTGAGCAGAGCGGCTGGGAGGAGGGGCCGGGAGGCCTGCCGGGTGATGGGAGAGAAGCCGGTGGCCTGAGCGTGAGAGGAGCAGAGGTGTGGGCCATGTGGTCTGGGGCCTTGTGTGTGGCAGGAACAAGGGTGCCCGTGGGCTGCTGCCCTGCAGGACAGTGGGCCCTGGGCCGAGGTCAGCCTCTGAGTAGGGGGTGGGCTGGAGGTGGCTGTGGGGGCCTGGCCGTGCAGTGAGAGCCCAGCAGGGAGGGGCAGCAGAGGGGCAGGTGGGGTCCATACCAACCCGGCCAAGATGGAGGCGGCTCGCAGGCACGGAGGCGGGTCTTTAGGCCTCTGGTCAGAACAGATGCTGGTGTGTGGCTCGAGGGGCAGGTGGAGGGAGGAGAGGAGGCAGGGAGTCGGTGGAGGGTCTGGGGAAGGGAGGTCAGGCGCAGAGAGCGGCGTGCCTTCGCAGAAGGCTTTCATGCATTTGTTCATGACTAAGCCAAGGTAGGAAGAATCTCACCAGCCAACACGTCCCTGTGGCTCTCAAGTGCGCATCCTGTTGTGGGTGCCCGCTGTCCAGGGCGGGAGGGGGTGGTGTGCCGGGCAGCTCCCGGTTGAGAGGCCTCTCCCTGCGAATTAAGAGTCCGTGAGGTGGGCACGCTACCAGCGTGGGGCCCCCGAGGCTGGACCTCAGCAGCACGGGCTCAGGTCCTTGGGCCTGCACAGTGCGCAGATTTCAGCTTTCCGCTCTTAAAATGAACTTGGGGTTAAAGTGTTAATTGACATCTTTCAAGTGGCTTGGAGGACGTCCCGGGTCCATACAGGAAGAATGTATGTGGGTGTCAGATGCCGCTTGGGGTCATTTAAGAGCCCCTCGTGGCTACAGGTCACGGACTCTGGAGGTTCTCATCCCTGTGGGTGTGGCCTCCGAGCTGGCTGTAGAGCGCTTGTTCCGTGTGGAAACGTTGAAGCCTCGGCTAAAATAGTTATTACAGTCTTCTTCCCAAAGGTGGTATTTATTTAAAGTCAGATTTAAAGAGGAGTTACATGTAGCATTTTGGGACGTGGCTGGCAGAGGAGTGAAGTGTGTGCTGAGAACTGAGTGGGAGGCTCCTAACAGCCCGTCAGTACTGCCTGCTTTGGCGCCGACTAGGGCAGCCTGGGCAGCGGTGGGTGTGTTTGCTTTGTGTGCCCAGCTCTGGGCGGGATGCCATAGGCCCTTAGCTGCGTGCGCTCTCTCCTCAGGTAAGTGAGCCGGGGCTGCAGCTGCGGTGTGCACCCCAGCGATGTGCTTAATGCTGGCGAATGTGAAGTCATCTCCCAGGTGTCGCCAGAGGCCAGGGTGCCAGGGCGCCCCCAATGGGACCCCACAGCCCTCACTGCCCGCAGGGAGTTGTGTGTGATGCTTTGTTTCCTTAATTGAATTAGTGTTTTGGTGCACTTCACATTTACAGTAAGTTTTATAATAGATTTTATAATTACCAGCTTTCAAAAATCACTTTATTTATAATTTTTTCAGGAGATAAATCTCCCCCTAAACTTGAACCATCAGATGCATTACCTCTTCCTTCAAACTCGGAGACTAATTCAGAACCACCAACCCTCAAACCAGTAGAACTCAACCCAGAGCAGAGTAAACTATTCAAAAGAGTCACATTTGATAATGAATCACATAGCACTTGCACTCAGAGCGCCCTGGTAATCGGACACCCTGCAGAGCCCACCCTCGCCTGTAGTGGCGCTGCGCCGGCGGCGGCCTCCGCGGGGGCGGAGCCAGCAAGCGATGTAAACAGACGCCCTTCTGTTCTCTTCTGCAAATCGAACAGTGTAAGCCCCCCAAAGTCTGCCAAGAACACTGAGACCCCGCCAGCTTCTCCTCAGCTAGGGACCAAAACCTTTCTGTCTGTAGTCCTTCCGAGGTTGGAGACTCTTCTGCAGCCAAGAAAAAGGTCGCGAAGCACCTGCGGCGACTCTGAGGTGGAGGCGGGGTCCCCGGGAAAGCGCCTGGACACAGGTAAATGCTGCGGCCCTCGCCGCCCTTCCTTCTCCGGGGTCAGAGGGCACAGTCGTGGGAGTATCTCAGTCCACTGGCCACAGTCCTCTTAATTTCCAGATGAGAAAACGGATGGCACATTTTCTCTTTGAAAACCCCTGACTTGTAGGTCTGAGGGTGCATTGCGGGGTGGCTGCTGGCCACGTGGGCCTGGGGGCCAGTCCTGTTCCTCCCTCAGAGTGTGCACCGCGAGAAAGCCGAGGGCTCACTGGCATGCAGGGGCTGGAAGGAGCTCTCCTGCAGCTGAGTGTGTGTCACCGAAACGTCCTTTGCGGGCTCCCCGACGGCCGTGCCTCTGGGGGGCGCTGTTCTGTGTGAACATGCTGGTCCCGTGGGCTCTGTCCTGGACCAGAGCCTGGTCTGTGTTTCCTACTGTCCACTGGTGCGTCCAGACAAGGAGAAATGCGCTGTCTCTTGGCCGTCCTGCTGTCAGGACGCCTTCTCAGCTCAGCTGGAGGAGCAGAGGCTGGGTGGGACGAGCCATCTGCCTTACGCACCCGTCATGTGGGGAGTCTGGGTTCCGCTGCGCTGCGCGTTTCCAAGTTAGTGCAGCTGGGTGTTCGTTTGGGACGCCGCCCGTGGGCGCCGTGGGAAGCGCCGAGGGAGGCGTGGGCTGCTCTGACCTCAGGAGGGTCTGCACACCCGCCTCCCCTCCTGCCCGTCTGCGGAGCTCTGCTGGCCCTTCTCTGTGGCCTCTGGCTGGTTCTTCCTTCTCTTCCTGAGGTTCCTGCCATGTGATTCCTGTGTGCAAGTGGGGGAGTGGGGAGAGGACAGAGGAGAGAGGGACGGTGAGACCTTTTCCATGGATTTACCCCGATCCATCAGAAGAACCCCACGCGGCCATAGCTCATCACTGGCTTTTCTTCACAAGGAGATGTGGGAGTCAGTTAGTCCTTGACCCAGAGCAGCAGGAAGGCATGGAAACGGCCTTCATGGGCCCTCCACAGCCCTCTGGACCCTTTTTCTGAGGGTCGGTCTGCACGGGCTCACACTGTCCAGGGAGCTGGGGGCACATGCAGACACAGGCAGAGCAGGGGGAGCCGCACTCTCACGGGCCTGGACTTTCTAAACGGGAAGTGAGCTCTGGCTCCAGCTTCAAGTCACAGCTGCTGAGCTCCTAGCACGAGCCAAGCCCCTTGTCCTGTGAGGCCAGGCGCCGACCTCTCAGTTGTGAGGTCCCGGTGGCGTCTCCTTCCCACCGGAGGCCCTTCCTCCACCTCGGACAAAGCGTTCATTGGGTCACTTTATGGCGACCCCGTTTTATTGGAATCTGGATCCTCGTCCCGTGTCCCCAAGACGTACTGCTCAGCTCGCTGCAGCTCAGCCCCTGCTGCCCCCGCACCTCCTCCAGCTCACGACCAGCCTCCCACCTCCACACGCTCCTCCACAGCCGCCTCCCCTCTCGGCCTCACAGGATGGGGGAGAGTCGGGCCTGCCCTGGAGTAGGCTGTGGCTGGAGGGAGTCCTGGCTGGTGGCCCTCTCCCAGAGCATGGACCCTGCTTCCTTCCCAGCTGTAGGCTGTTGCCTCTTACACGCGTGTTCGCTGGAGCAGCACTGTAATTTCCTTCCAGGACCTCTTGGCGGTCACAGCGTGCTCACTGTTTGGCCGAGAGGCCTCGCTTCCGGCTTCTCTTGGCGTTGGACAAGCCCCCTCCCCCTCGCGGGTCGCTTCTGCTTTTGGTGTGAAGTGAGAGGTCGGCTCTTCCTGCACGGGCACCTGGAGGCCATCGTGGGCTACGAAGGGCCTGCCTTCCGCCTTGTGTCTCAGGAAATAGGGGCCCAGGAGAGGGAGGGACGGTCTTGGTCTCATGGGGCAGTTTGTGGGCCCCAAAGAATGACAGGAGTGAGGTTAAGGGTCACTGATCACAGAGCACATGACGGTGGTGGCAGTGACAAGGTTTGTGTATTTCGAGAAAGGCACTGAGCACCGGCCGTTGGGGAGTGGTGCCAGGGGCTGGCGAGATGCAGGGCTGCACAGGCCTTTGGCGGGTGGATCGCACAGTCTCTGGAAGCGCAGTGAAGCAGGCAAGAGCCCTCTGAGCTGACCGTCACTTCACACTGTTGGAAAGAAATGGCTTTTCAGTTTTTTAGGCGTGAGGAGTGGGATTTCTTTTTGGGGAAAAATTATGCACAGTTCTTGGTGTGACACAGGAGCGGGCCTGGCTGGGTCTGCGGTGGGGACACGGATTATAACGTGTTGTTGAGGTTCTTGATACTTTTCTTTTGAAAGTGTTTTTTCATTGACTCCGTTGCCATTTGAAGTTTCTCTGTGTGAAGTCGTTCTTGGTGGTCTGGCTCCTCAGCCAGGTCCCGGCTGGCCTGGCCCGCATGCCTGGGGCAGACACGGCTGGTCCCAGACTGCACCGGCGGGACATGTGTGTGGTCCGCCCGCCGGGGAGTGAATAGCACGCCCGTTCTCTGCGTGGTGGAGCCTTTTCACACGTGACGTTAGGAAGGGCCCCTCAGAGGCTCTCAGCCTTGTCACTGCAAACCCCGCCCCCATGCCGTAGGCCCCGCCCCTGGGCCCCCCTTCGGCGTAGGCGCTGAGCTGGGCTGGGCCTGGGGTGACTGCCTCCATGCTGTCCTAGCTGGGACATCCGGTTTGGGGGAGTTAGCGCTGGGACATCGGGTTCCGGTTTGGGGGAGTTGGCGCTGGGACATCGGGTTCCGGTTTGGGGGAGTTGGCGCTGGGACATCGGGTTCTGGTTTGGGGGAGATGGCGCTGGGACATCGGGTTCCGGTTTGGGGGAGTTGGCGCTGGGACATCGGGTTCTGGTTTGGGGGAGTTGGCGCTGGGACATCGGGTTCCGGTTTGGCGGAGTTGGCGCTGGGACATCGGGTTCTGGTTTGGGGGAGTTGGCGCTGGGACATGGGGTTCTGGTTTGGCGGAGTTGGCGTTCGGGCAGCGGCTCTATCCACAGAGCTCATCCGCCGTGTCTTTGCAGGTCTCACCAATGGCTTTGGGGGCGTGAGGAGCGAGCCGGAGCCGGGCGCCCTCCCCGGGAGGAAAGCCACGCCCCGGCGCCGCTGCGCCTCCGAGTCCAGCATCGCCTCCAGCAGCAGCCCGCTCTGCGACGCCAGGTGGGCCGGGTTCCGAGTCACGTGGGGCGGGTTTTGTGTCCATGAACATGGGTCTTGGTGAGTAGTGTCCTTGCCCTCACCACGCCCTGCCTGTAGCGGCGTGATGGTGAGCGCAGCCCCTTTGTACCGGGCTGCGGCTGCAGCGGCGCCCTGACCAGCCTGCAATCCCCGCAGTTTCAGCACCCCCAAGTGCGGCCGCGGCAAGCCTGCCCTGGTGCGCAGGCACACGCTGGAGGACCGCAGCGAGCTCATCTCCTGCATCGAGAACGGCAACTACGCCAAGGCGGCCAGGATCGCGGCCGGTGAGTGCAGCCCAGGCCGGTGCCCCTCTGCCCCGCGGACACTGCTTCCCTGGGCGCCCTGGCCTCCGGAAAGGCCGGCTTTGGCAGGGCGAGGCGCTGCGCTGAGCCAGACAGGCCTGCGGGCGCCGTGGGGAGTGATGCCTGGGTGCTCGGCCCCAGGTGGTTCCTGTCAGACCTGATAGGCCCACGGGCTTGGCTTAGGCTCACGTGTGATGTGCAGCCTGTTGTGAGCCTGTGGGCGGGGTGGGGGTCCCAGCTCGGTGTCGAGAGGTGGCTCGGGATCAGGGGGCAGTGGCTGTTGGGATGGAGATGGCATTGGCACTGTGGGTGGAGATGAATGGCCAGTCAGGAGGGTCTGAGCAGAGCATGGCGAGGGCTGGGACACCAGGATGTGGGTGTGGACTCCAGACAAGGCTCCCTGCAGGTGGAGGGTGTGAGGAAGGGGGAGGGCGCCAGGGCTGTGGTTCCAGAGGGGCCCTGGGTCCTCCCCTGGGGGGTGGGCCTGAGGGCGGAGGTGGGGGCTCAGGAGGGAGCGATGCTGGGAGCCTGGAGGTCGGAGCCTCAGGTAGGGTCAGGGTGCGTGGAAACCCGGGGCCAGACTGTGAGGAACAGTCAGGGTGCCGGGGCCCCAGGCACCCTCAGCCAGGGCGGGTGCGGTTGCTGCCGATGCCCGTGGGGCTCACCCTCGCTCCCTCTCCCTCTCTCCCTCTCTCCCTCTCTCCCTCTCTCCCTCTCTCCCTCTCTCCCTCTCTCCCTCTCCAGAGGTGGGCCAGAGCAGCATGTGGATCTCCACCGACGCCGCTGCCTCCGCGCTCGAGCCCCTGAAGGTGGTGTGGGCCAAGTGCAGCGGCTACCCGTCCTACCCCGCCCTGGTGAGCCGAGCACGGGGGGGGGGGGGGGCACAGCGTCCCCTGCGGGCACTGTGGGGGAGGGGCGGAGAGCTGGGTGCAGCGCCAGCGCTCGGGTGTGACCCCGTCGTCCCGTCCCCCTCCCCCCGCAGATCATCGACCCTAAGATGCCACGCGTGCCCGGGCACCACAACGGAGTCACCATCCCGGCGCCGCCGCTGGACGTGC